TAGTATTCAGCGTACCTTAATAGTCCCAGAACTACGTGCCCCCATAGGTTTATAAGTCCCCTATGTGGGCATTACATTTTAGTGATCACTCCAGTCATGCCTATATACCTCTGGTAGGGTATATTGGGTCCTCTCGATGGGGTGTATACATCAGACTCCACATTTAGCACATGTGGTTTTATGTTGGTTATTAGTAGCTTCCTTACGGTCAGATTCTATTGCATTGACTGTGTAATCAGTTCCAGTAAGATTTCAGCCTCAGGATGTTATGAACTTGGACATTGCATTCAGTTAGTTCATGTTCAGTAGTCTCAATATAGTATCATGCCTATCTCTTATCATTGCTCAGTATATGCTTTGGTTCAATTATGTTTATTGTTCAGCTTTTGTTCTATTCTGCATGCTCAATACCTTTCTAGTACTGAGCATAGAATGATCCTTAGAGAAATCTGACCAAGTGTGGAACTACGAAAGAGAGTGACGGACCGTAGTTCGACCCACGTGCCATTCTGCACAACTGTTGATTGATTCAGAGATTTTGAGTTCCAATACCTGAGGAAAAGTTCTAAGTGTGGAGCCACGGAAGGGGACCCATGGACCGTAGGTCATCTTACAGTCTGTACTGCACGTTCGACGTTTGTGTCTGAAAGTTGAAGGTTCCAGCTTCTAAGAAAAAGTCTAAAGGGACCTACAGACCGTAGGTCTATCCATGGTCCGTAGGTCAGTCTCGTCGCTCGATGCCGTGGCCAACAATTTATTTCCTTATTTCGTTCCCTTTTTGTTTAGGACAAGTTTTTCTGTAAATAGGTTATGTAAAACTCATTTTTGGGGGTTAGACATTATTGTTAACTTTTAGTTCTTGGTATTTTCTTGGGAATTAACTTGCAAACTTTAGCAATTTGATTTACGAATTTTGGTTTGTAATGATTTTGCTTTGAATTTCAATTGGAGATTACGGGTTTCTTCTACTCATTACGTAAGTTCATGAATTCTTCTTCTAAAATATGAATTGTGTTCTTCCAAGTATGATTAATTAAATCCACAACTAGGGTTGTGGGAACCATGAGCAATTAACAAAGTATGAATAATAACTAAGTAATTCTTGAATAGTGTTGATGCATGCATTGATAATTCTTTCGTTTAGAAGTCTTTTTAACAAGTGCACGTGTTAGAACTCGCCTTGTTGCTACTTCCTGGAACAAGGAGGTAGTTAATAAGAAAAGATTTGTCAACGGAGATTTAGTGTGATACTATCTAATAGTCTAATGTCAATGTGTGCGAGGGTGAAAACTAAGCCATACATTGATGTGATGTCTAATTTGAGGTAAAGGTAAGGGTTAATAAATTATACACACGTAGTCGTACCAAGGTGCGGAGTGAAATTCCTTATTTGACGAACCAAGCAATTAGGGATACATAACTTACTAATTTGCATGTGATACACTAGGATAGGATTACTATTATTAGGATTACCACGTTATGAGCTTATGGGGAACACATACACCCTCGTTTCTCTCTCGCATTGATAACAACTAAAGTTCGAATCTTGCTCACTTTTTCTCTAAATAATAATAAGTTATTTGTTACATAACCCCCCCCCCCCTTTACTTACTTGTCTTGGAAATAAGTTG